TATTTATATAAATGGAAATTAAATTCCCAATTCGGTAGAGGTAAACAGAGTTATTTTATTTTAGTGAATTAATCTGATTGACTTAGGCATTTAACTTTCCATATGTAATATAATTACTATAAAATAAAGGTAATATCATAATCTTTGAAAATTAAAATTGAATTATTGACTGTTAATTTTATTTAATTACTATTTTCTGGCTAATAATACCCAATCAACTACTGCACTTTGAATAAAGTTAATTAAAAATTACGAAGTATGAAATGAGGCGAAATAGGGAATAAAAGCTGTATCGTAACAAAAAATAGTTTTTCATTCTGTCTTCAAATTCTAAACTTTAATTAAAAATCTGAAGACATACGAAATTAAAGACGCTTGTCTGATTCCCAACTTAAAGTAGTGCACTTCTTTAAATATTTGAGATTCAGTAAATGTTGTTAGCTCTTCATAATGCTTTAAAGAAAAAATGGCAATAAAATCTGTGTGATTCACTTAACTTAGCTGAATATGGCTATCAAGGTAAAACTATAAAGATAAGCAATTATCAAAGGTTTTCCCTTGATGAAATTAACATTTCATTTCTTTTTTTTCAACCCATCACCATTGAAGTAATGAATAACTACTAAATTTGTTTATGTGAATCAATAAAAACTGCACGTTGCTCGAGCTAAATTGGAATATGTTTTCGATATAGCAAACAATAACCTGTTTTTTCTTCTTCCTAACTGGGATATTGGCTTATAGTGCGTAAAATTGCACAATGATAGAAGACTTAAGCAAAGCAATGTAAGCAAATCTGGAAATTCTGTTTTCCATTCGATCATCCAGTAAATGAGTTCAAGACGTAAGTTATCGTTCTGGAACTTGTGGACACTCTGAACTGTTATTTGCAATGCTCTACTTGCTTACTCGCTCTCATCCTTCATGTACCCCGAGTTTAAATGTTTTCTTGATTTGTTAAGGGTACTAATATTTGCAGTCAGCCCATCCGTGTAGGGTTGAAATTTGAGGGGAGAGCCAAGTGGGTGTGCGATAGACTTACCTCCACGTGGTGCACCCTGGAAATATGCCTTCACTATCAACATCTTATTTGGAAGCGGAGGGGTGTGTGCGATAGACTTACCTCCACGTGGTGCACCCTGGACAGCGTGCGATAGACTTACCTCCACGTGGTGCACCCTGGGCAACTTTCAACCCTTGCTGGTTTTCTAAACAATTATTCTTAAGAATACGATAGACTTACCTCCACGTGGTGCACCCTGGACAACGTACTTTCAAATGGCAGGCGTTATGATAGGTATCATGGGGTGTGCAATAGACTTACCTCCGTGGTGCACCCTGGGCAATGTATATTTAGACTTACCTCCACGTGGTGCACCCTGGGCACCGTATACTCATACGGCAAAAAAGTCTATTAACCGGCAGTTGTTGCGATAGACTTACCTCCACGCGGTGCACCCTGGGCAACCCACTCATACGGCAAAAAAGTCTATTAACCGGCAGTTGACTTATCACTTTCATACGGCAAAAAAGTCTATTAACCGGCATTTGACTTCTCACTTCAAACTACTATCACCTCACTATATGTCATATTCAACTACTTCCATAGTACTCACCTCACCTTTTTTCTACCTATGTGTCTGTCTCTTTACATCTATGACACTCTATCGTTCCCCCTCCCCTCTCGACTTTTTTTCAATTTGATGTACCTTCCTCTCTGTGAGGCCTGAGGGCTAATGATGACCATCAAGACGCCTGCCATTTGATATAATAATAATAATCTTTGCAGTCAAAACTCTTTCCGACTTTCGTTTCTAACCTTAGCGCTGACAGATCCTCGAGTTTTGAAGATGTCTATGGAGGAAAGAAAATTAAGTCAATGTCCTTTCAAGCTGCAAGAACTTCAAGAAAAGATTTAAACGTGAAAGACGGCAGAATTTTTTTATTGGGAATAGAAAAGAGACAGGTGTGTTAAAAATTAACTTAATGAGGGCGTTAAGGCTCGTACCACAGGGATTGGAAAACGGTGAAAGAGCATTAAAACAACAAAACAACGCAAAGAAGGCAATAAAATAGATAGATAACGTAGATATAGAAGAGGTCACTAAAAGCTCATGTCGCTCTTACTATGATATCTCGTCACTTCGAATTTTATTTAATTTTAGCTTGGCAATTGAACTAAACTATCAAACGACTATTCGCTAGACTACTCCGCATATTTTCAGAAAAATTTAAAAAAATGTTACCTTATGATTGTTGGGTAAAAATGAATCACAAAAAGCTTAATTCAATATATACTATGAACTTGTGACCTTATAGTGAACTTACCTTAAGAAGCAGCAACTACTGAAGAAACTGAACACTAGTATGGCCCAAAATATTGACTCATTTATGATGTGAATTTATCAGTTAAGACTGCTTGTTTTTATATATGCTCAACTTACTAGATACGTGAGAGTAAAACTTTATTACTATTACAATAATTGTTATCGTTAGTCCCTGTTTGAAAAGAGAGGGATGGGAGACTTGATTTATGCGATTATGGAATTTAAATTCTTCATTTCTTAGCTGAATAGGATGTGAGACTTTGAATACTTGAAGTTGTAGACGATATATGCCCCTGAGGTACAGTCACTGGGCCAATAATATTGCGCTCTTCCCTGCCACTAATCTATATTCAATTATTTTCATTATTTTCGCTCAAACCCAATTGAGGTGAGGAGTTATAGACCTTGATTCAGAGATGGAACTCAAATTTTTGTCATAAACCATGACAGATTGCTCAAACCAAAGACAAAACGGATCTAACAAAAATTCGAGAGCAGATTTGTATCATACATGATTTGCTTTGAGAGAGTGCCTTAAAATATTTCTGTCATCATTTAGCTGAAAGGAAAGGTAGCAATTATCGAAGTGATTCTTCAAACCCAACCTCATTCGTAATTTAACTGAAGGATTACCATTATTAATTCTTCGTTAATCAATAGCACTTTAGTATTAATTTTAAGTATAAATAGGATACCGTAATTAGATTTTGATTAAGTGTGAAATGTTCAAAAAATACATTTCATTTAATTGGCTCACTACTTGCTTAAATGGGACAATTTTGATTTCCAGTCCATTTCAGAATCGAAAAGATTTTTTGGTCAGTGCTTTTTGATGTCTAAAAGACCGGGGTGCTCAACCCTTGCTGGTTTTCTAAACAATTATTCTTAAGAATACGATAGACTTACCTCCACGTGGTGCACCCTGGACAACGTACTTTCAAATGGCAGGCGTTATGATAGGTATCATGGGGTGTGCAATAGACTTACCTCCGTGGTGCACCCTGGGCAATGTATATTAGACCGTGGTGCACCCTGGGCAACGTATATTGATACGGCAAAAAGTCTATTATTCGGCAGTTGGCTTCTCCCTTCAAACTACCATCACCCCACTGTATGTCATTTTCTACCACTGGCCCAGTACTCACCTCACCTTTCATCTACCTTTGTGTCTGTCTCTTTTACATCTTTGAAACACTCTTCTGTTCCTCCCCCCCCCCTCTCGACTTTTTTCACTTTGATGTTCCTCTCCCTCTGTGAAGCCTGAAGTCAACTAAAGGGCTAATGATAACTATCATAAAGCCTGCCATTTGATATAAATAAATAAATGTCTAAAAGACCCGATTTAAAATTTGTCCATATTTCTTTGGGTTTAAATTTAAATATTTTAACCGAATATTGATCAAAACTCGAAAAACTCCGGCTTGCCGAAAAGAATTGGAAGCAATAATAAAAAAACTGAAATTAAATAGATAGATCAAAATACTAGGAATGACAACCGAATGATGTCTTGTTAGTCTTAGAATGAACTTATTTATTAATATCGGTGCGAATGGTAAAGCTAGAATAAGTTTAAGATTCAAAGTAAAGTCCAGAGTTCCATGCTCCACTTTATCTTGACCCAAAACCCATAATCAAGTGATGTAAAGTTATCAAACCTCATTTTCCGAAATAACTTGGCAAGAAGTTTAAATATAAAATACAAAGATTTTGCTCATCCTTAAACGCCAATGAAATCATCAATAGGAAAATTAATGTACATTTTGCAGTCGGTAGAGTAAATATTTAAACCTTTATTATTTTATAATACACTCGGAATGGGCGTTTAGATGAATATAGATTTGAGGTCTAAGGAAATCCGCAAAAGCTATTGCTCTTGTCTAACACGCTATAGAGCCTTATAAGAATGCGCAAAAGAAAAATAGGTGATATAATCTTAAATACTGAAAATAAATGGAATAAATTTTCAGTTTTCAGTATTAGGAATTGTTTAAAAATTTAATAGCCATTTCGATTATTGTTCATAGAAAGGCTATTTTTTCTATGAAAGGTTTAGATAATGTGTTTATTTGTAGCAATTTAATAGGTTGTATGAAGGCGAACCTACTTTACTTAAATGTGTTTCACTATTACAGTAGGACGTGGATATTTAGATACACATAAATTTTATCAAGCCTCATAGCATTAATAAGATCTTCCTTTTTAGCTGACGAGTTCATTACAAGAAAGGAATTTCGATCTGATATATCCAATTTGCATAAGCCTAAAAAGTGATTAATGAATTCGAAGCTGAAATAGAGTGGTAAAACTGCCACATGTGAAATAAAGGCTGGATTTAGAGATGTGGATTCGCAAGAATCAAATATAAATGGCTCAACAAAAATATTAAATTATAAGGACTTGCATTATCATATCCTTCTTCTTGAAATATGACCGAGTAAAATTGAAAAAGAATTTGTTCCGAATTGCATTTTAATTTTATAGTAAATGAATCAATTTCTCAAAGCTCTTCATGGATCAAAAAACTAAACTCGTGGTTTTATTAATACTACTTTTTGAATTATAATGTACTATTTTTCGTTAAAGTTATTTTAACTATTTAGTGCCAATTATTTGTAAATGACCTACAATGTTTCACTTTAAGCCACATTAAACTTCAAATTAGCCTATCGGGTCATGGCTGAGGATGATCAGCATTTTGTTGTCTTTGGAGAACCTTTTGATGAAGATGATGATGGTATTTTACTTAAATTCCTTTTAATCTAGATAGAAAGTTCCAGATTTTTGCATCCGAAAGCTAGGCCTCAGGCTTATGAACAACGCGTGTTAAATGAACGTGGTCGACCTATGCGCTTTCATGGGGCCTTTACTGGAGGTTTCTCTGCTGGTTATTTTAATACAGTTGGGTCTAAAGAAGGTAGTCACTTTACACTCGCTGTTGATTTGGCGTTTCCAATAATAACCACTCTGCGTTCGTTTTAAGGTTTTAAACCACAATCATTCACATCATCTCGACGAAACCGTACGCAAAATAGTGTACAGATTCAAGGCAAACCAGAAGACTTTATGGATGATGAGGTTGGTTAATACATCACTTTTGCTTTTTCACTTTACCTGCTGTCGCTTTACATCCATCTCAATTGTCTAGGACTTTGGCGCCTTTGGTATTGCCCCACGTCACTATCGAACCCGTCGCGAGTACGATGATCATCACATTTTTGACACACTTTCGGAGTCTCTCGGAGGAAAATCGGTCATTCCAGCTGCAGATGATATCCTTAAGCGTATGCTTATACCCTCTGGGACAAGTTTGGCAGATAGGCTCCTACGGCGAATGGGATGGAAGTCGGAAGATATTGCTGATGTTGTCGCCGAAGATGAAGCTGAGAAGATTGCTGCCTCCCAATGTACTAAAGGTCAGTATTTATTAAATGAAGTTTACGTCTGTTAAGATGCAACAAATAGCACATTGACTTAATACCTTATTTCGAGGGAAATAATTATCTCGAAATAACTCCTGGTTAACCACCTGACTTATCTATAACATTCATTGGAATCTTGGATGAGTTTTTTATGGTTTTCATTTTATTTAACATTGGATTTTATAAGATGAGAAGTCATTCTAAAAATCAGGCTTACTTTAATTTCAAATTATTGACGGTTTGATGGTCTCTTATACACTAGTTAGCGGGCTCTATGGTTTAGGGAGTTTGAAGTTATTTGATTTACTTGATTGATCCTATTAACCTACTTCTTTTACATCTTCTATTTATTGTGAGTTCATAAAAATATCCGTACGAAAACCTTGAAGTTTCTAACTAATTGCTATGGATATACTCTTCGCTTGTCATGGCTCTTCGAGGAATTTTCACAGTTTTAAGCTCCTACTCTCATCCTAGAATCGTAAGATTTCTAGTCTCATTGCATCCAAAGTTGGAAAAGAAGTCAAATCCATGTTTCTTAGAGTGGATTAGGTTATTTTTGGGGTCTTTTTCACGTAATTTTAACAGGTAGCTCACGAACAGAAGTCGTTAAAACTTTTCACTAAAGCTTGTTAGTTCGTGAGACTTATTGATTTACGTTCATTTACAGAACGCGACTATGCGGTGATCAGCTTCGCCCCTAAGACGAATACTTTCGGTTTGGGATACTCTGGTTTGGATCCGGACATCGCTTTCGGTAGACGAGCCCCAACTTCTATGCATGATCCTCAAGCTGAGTCTGTGACAAACCTTCAGCGACGTGAACAATTATCCCATGTTGGGTTCAATCCCTCAACTGGACCCATTCGTCAGGGTATCCGAGGTATGATTTGAAGGGCTGACGAAAGTTTCCTGTTTATTTTTTTAATTGATTATTTTATTAATGGTACAAGGGAGGTCGTGAAATATATTACCACGTATATTTATTTATATCAAATGGCAGGCGTCTTGATGGTTATCATTAGCCCTTTAGTTGACTTCGGGCTTCACAGAGGGGAAGGAACATCAAGTTGAAAAAAGTCGAGAGGGGGGAACAGAATAGTGTTTCAAAGATGTGAGAGACAAACACAAAGGTAGAACAAAGGTGAGGTGAGTACTGTGAAAATAGTCGAATATGGCATAGAGTGAGGTGATGGTAGTTTGAAGTGAGAAGTCAACTGCCAGTCTTTGGACTTTTTACCGTATGAATATACGTTGCCCAGGGTGCACCACGTGGAGGTAAGTCTCTCGCACACCCCAAATAAATAAATATTATATATTGGGGAGTTAACCAACTCCAAAGGCCTATTAATCCAAACCAAGTAGTTTAACAAAGGAAGTATAAAACTACATTTAGTCGAATAGTAAACCCAATACACGCATTCTCTCTCCTGTAACCTTAATGGCCAATTGAACTCAAACCGTGCACTTTGAGCCAACACTGCTGAGCCCTGCGAATGTAAAAGTTCTTGCTATCTAAGTGCTGTTACGTTAGGATAATAGTGGCGGCTAAGTATATAAATTGAGACACTAGACAAGACTGACACAAAAATTCACTCTCTACTTCAAATGACATCCTGTGGAAACCAATTTTCGGAACATTAACTGCACATTGGGAAAATATTATACAACTCACATCTCCTCTTCTTCTTCAACTAGAATAAAATTTATATTTTTTTTACTTAAGAGCATGCATTAAAATGAGCCGAATTTACAAAAGTAAGTAGTACCGATCTGGTAATGAGAGATCAAAGTGCCACTCTACCATAACCTGTCAAAAAGGTGAATATTAGATAAGTGGTAGAAAAGGTAATGACGAAATCTAGAAAAGTAGGAGTTTTTCAGGAAAAAAAATCCCACTTATTCTGACCTTTACTACCGGTAAACACGGTTGAACTAAAAGGCAAAGGAATCTATTTCACCATTAACAGTTTTAGACACTTGTGACAAAAGATACGCAAATGAAAAGGTACACATTCGACACAACAGCCAAAGCGGGAACAGAACTTTCAATAAAAGGGAATAACTTGATAAAAAACGCCATGCTCTTCAAAGGATTCATGTGTTACCCAAAGTCAGAAAGATTTTGATTTTTCCTCTCGGGCGAATCTAATACACGCCTCACATTTTTTTCCTTAATCGTATAAATAAAATGAAAAAAAATTGAAGTTGACTTAAATGGATTCATTTAAGTCAGACGACATTTATAAAAATCTATATTTTGCAGATGGACTTACCTTCGCGTGATGGATACTGGGTAATGTATACTCATCCGCCAAAAAGTCTATTAACTGGCATTTAACTTAAAACTATCATGACTCCTATCTCTATATCATATTCGACCACTTTCACTGTACTCACCTCACCTTACCTTTTTCTCTCCCTCTGTGTCTGTCTGTCTCTATTACAACTGTGAATCTCTCTTCTGCTCCCCACCCCTCGACTTTCTGTTACATTGATATTCCTTCCGTCTATAAAGCCCGAAGTCAACTAAAGGGCTAATGATAACCATCAAGACGCCTGCCATTTGATATAAATAAATATACGTGGTAATATATTTCACGACCTCCCTTGTACCATTAATAAAATAATCAATTAAAAAAATAAACAGGAAACTTTCGTCAGCCCTTCAAATCATACCTCGGATACCCTGACGAATGGGTCCAGTTGAGGGATTGAACCCAACATGGGATAATTGTTCACGTCGCTGAAGGTTTGTCACAGACTCAGCTTGAGGATCATGCATAGAAGTTGGGGCTCGTCTACCGAAAGCGATGTCCGGATCCANACAGAGGGGAAGGAACATCAAGTTGAAAAAAGTCGAGAGGGGGGAACAGAATAGTGTTTCAAAGATGTGAGAGACAAACACAAAGGTAGAACAAAGGTGAGGTGAGTACTGTGAAAATAGTCGAATATGGCATAGAGTGAGGTGATGGTAGTTTGAAGTGAGAAGTCAACTGCCAGTCTTTGGACTTTTTACCGTATGAATATACGTTGCCCAGGGTGCACCACGTGGAGGTAAGTCTATCGCACACCCCCCATTCGTAAATATAGACCGTTTGATTATCCCGGGAATTACTTCTTGACTTAATTACCGGGTCCCATATGCTAGTCAACTTATTCAGGCAAGTTCCAATACTTAAAAAAATAATTTGACCAAGTTCTCATATCTACTAGCTCTCCATGTTCATTACTGTGCCTTTAGCATTTTCTTTTTGGTCGTTAGTCTTACGTTTGGCTCTTTCTATCATTCTCTATTTTGTTGTGATGTTGAGGTTGTGTAATGTCAGCCCAACTAGACTTTATAACTTCCACTTTCTCTCTCTCTTCAACAGTCATCCAACTCACAACTTTGACTTGTTATTATTAATTACTCTTTTCTCCGATCTTCCTGGTAGGCCAAGCCTTTGGCGTGGGAGCGCTTCATTCCGAGGACGCAGACATCTACGCAACGGACAGTTTGGCCACTTATGACTTCAGCATTGCACCGACCGAAGAGGAAGCTGATGACGAAATGGCCGATTTGGAGGCTGCACAACATGGTCGTTTCTCTGATCTTAGACGGAAATCAAAACCCAGCAATTCCACTCTGGATGGGTGGACGCCTCCCACTCGTAAGTGGTATTTTGTACCTCGATAATAAAGCTATGGCTCAAATATGTCACCCAAAGTGGGTTCAATCTCGACGATAAAGCTGTTTTAGGGATAAAGTAGAATCACATGTGCATTGTTCAACTGAAAATTAACCAGATGGGAATAGAGGAGGAATTTTGGGTATAATTTAGCATGAAAGAACGCGTTAGTACTGAGTGAGGACAGCCCAAATTGTGAGAAATAGACAAAGTGAGTTTTTTTGTTCCTTGAGGACTACTGACAATTAGGGCATATGTATTAGGCAAGGGGTAAACAATACAGAGAGATGGTGCAGACCAGTGAATCAGTCTCATAAATGCTTATTGTGTTGTTATGAATGTTTGAGGCTGAATATTGTAATGTCATTGCCCTGTAAATTAATACTGCCCCCTAGGGTAAGAAGCTCGAGTTCTCCCACCTCTATTTATCAGGCTTCATCACTTTGTTGGGTCGTGATTTTTAATTTTGTTGAAGTTGTGATCGGAATATAAATTTTCTAGAACGCATGAAGTATAATGCATTACTGAATGTTTATTAACGTTGCTGATTCAGCGTTCGCTATCTTTGCAATAATCTAGCTTGATATTTTTCATTTGTTAAAAAACATGAGCAAGCAAAACTGAAATTCCTTGTGTTTATGAGGGAAACAACATAAGACTGATGACAACCTCGTTTACAACCACTTTAAGACCAGATTTAAATAGTGCCCTTTGCTATTTCGATATCAAGCAAACTTCCTCTGATTTTAAAGTTAATCAATATCGCTTACTAATTTAAGCGCCTACTTAATTAGAAAAGTAGTCACGGTTTTATAACATGTATTTTTCCTCGCATATGTAGGCCTTCGTTAATCATTGTTCTAATTACTTTCCTCTTAATCTTTATGCTTCATTTCAGTTCCGAAAATTTCGCTTTCTGGTGTGGAGGAACACGACAAGATAGATGACATCGAAGGTTTTGTGAGGCCGGTGAACTCCGATGCGCGTCTGGTTCTGGCTAATTCTGAGTTCTTTGTCATTCCAAAAGTAGTGCACCTTCCACCGGGTTACAACCCCATTTTTCATCCAGAATGTCTTGGAGGAGGTAATTTGGAAGAAACTGGTCAAGAGGAACCTTCAATTCCAGAAGTTTCTGTTGCACCTCTTTTGAAACCCTTCGTCGGTGATTCTGCAAAACAGGCGAGGTTTGAGGCCTACCAGCTTCTCATCAGACAGGGCTTGACTCGTAAATTTTATCTCATCTTATTTCACCTATTTTAAATTTCGATTTATTAGATTTACCTAAATTGGTTATTTTAACTTATTAAGAAACATTTATTTATATCAAATGGCAGGCGTTTTGATAGTTATCACTAGCCCTTTAGTTGACTTCGGGCTTCACAGATGGGAAGGAACATCAAAATGAAAAAAGTCGAGAGGGGGGACAAAAGAGTTTTCCAAAGATGCAAAAGAGACAGACACAAATTTAGAAAAAAGGTGAGGTGAGTACTCTGAAAGTAGTCGAATTTGACATACAGTTAGGTGATGGTAGCTTGGAGTCAGAAGTCAACTGCCTGTTAATAGAATTTTTTGCCGTATGAGTATACGTTGCCCAGGGTACACCACGTGGAGGTAAGTCTATCGCACACCCCTATTAAGAAACATAATTTCGTTAATTGGCAGGTATTTTTAGATTTAGCCAAAAAATGCTTAGGTAATTGAGGGTTCCACTTGGTCTACTTTGTTGTTAAAGTGTTTGAGTTTTATCACTGAGTGATTTAAAAGCAGCTCAAATATTCAAAAGTTTGGTTATGAATCCAATTGCGGATTCTATTCCTTATGTCACTCGGCCACAACTGAACAACTTCGCACTTTCGTCGATAAAAAGGCATTGGCGGATCAGTTGTCACAAATTCAGAGGTTATCTATCAACTGGTAGGCTTGTTGATCCATTAGGTGGGTGCCACATTAAAACTGTGGGAAGAATGGACAATTTCAGATTTAATTGAAACGTCATCCAATTTGTCCCTACGAAAGTGGTAATAGTTTAAAGAACTTCAATTTGGTCCAATAATTCTGGGGTTAAAATGACATATGACTCTCTGTCTTAGCCTAATTGCCTCTTAAAATAAGTACATACTACCTCACTGATGAACTATTTCCTCTTCTGTGTTTGTGTGTTTCCCAATGGTAAAAGGTTGTAAAACCTTTTAAGTCTCACAATATGAAATGTACTTTACCTAAACCCTGAGTTCTGTTTCATTTTTGTCCTTATAGAAGTCACTGCATTGTTATAACTCACAGTAGAACAAAAACATCTGGATTTGAATCAATTGGTCCAATATTTTTATTGATTTATTTCAAATGTCGGGCTTTATGATACTTATCATTACCCCTTGAGCTGACTTCGGGCTTCATAGAGGGAAAGAACATCAAAGTAACAGAAAGTCGAGGGGTGGGAAACAGAAGAGTGATTCACAGATGTAAAAGAGACAGACACAAAGGCTCAGAAAGGGTAAGATGAGTACTGTGATAGGGGTCGAATATGACTTGCAGTCGGGCCATGGCAGTTTGAAGTTAGGTGTCAACTGCCGATTAACAGAGTTTTTGCCGTATGAGTATACGTTGCCCAGGGTACACCACGTGGAGGTAAGTCTATCACGCTTTCCGTCTCCAAAATATAACAGTGGTAAATGGTTAATAATTAAATCTATTGACGTGTACCATTGTAAATTGAATTTTTTTGATTTAAAAATTTCCATTTTGCTGATTGAGTAATTACGATGGTTGGTCTGTCTTTTCTCGTAATGGTCAAGATAGCATTGAATTCCAATAGTTTGCTAACATTTTGATTTGGTTTATCCTACAAAAGTGCTGTATCGGGTTAAATATTAGTAGTGCAATAGCTTTTACTTGTTTAAAAGTAGACTTTTTCTTCATCTACAGATGAAGCGTAGCTATCAAATAAACTTTTTATTTCAAGAGATTTCCCTCGTTTCTAAAAGTCCCCCTGTTGTAGCTTTGATGGTTTAGAGAGATTCTAATGCTCAATCCTCAATCTGCAGATGAAGAAGCTTATGAACGCTGTTCAACCCAAACTCCGGATCTTACCTCGGAAACTCGAGTCTTTGAAGCTAACGTCTTCGCTACTTTGGTGAAAAATCTTAGACCTTCACTAAAACCTCTCAAAGCCTCACCTTCATCGCAACCGTCTTCCACGCCAACAATTCCACCGCATGAAGCCTCAACAGAACAGACGCAAGAAAGAGACAATCGCCCATTGACAGCTGGAATTTTAGACTCGGAGAAACAGCGACTGGTTGCAAATCTCTTGAAATCACGATTTCGATCTGCCGGAGAGATGGACATCACTCAGGAGTTGACTGCAGCTCAGGAAGAGGAGAGGAGGAAGGACCTTGAGGTAGGTCTCTTTTTAATAATGTCTGCTTTATAGTGGTTTATTAGACTGCTAAGGTAGGTGACTTTTCAAATTTAGTGGGGGGATTGTTGTCTTCATTATTTTTTTGTTACTTTTCTCTTCACTCGTATTTGTGCGTGAAGTCGTCCCCTCAAGGCCATATTGCGTGCTTACTATCCCTAGTTTCAAATTCTAATAAAGTGACGAAGGGAAATCGGTTTTAGTCGACTGTCTTCTCCATTTTTCCGCACTTGGCTTTACCAACTGCATTTATGCCAATATCGCAGTCATTAGTCTGTATTTTGTTAATTATGATAACTTTAATCTACTTAAGTTTACTAGGGTGTGCGATAGACTTACCTCCACGTGTTGCACCCTGGGCAACGTATACTCATGCGGCAAAAAAGTCTATAAACTGGCGGTTGACTTCTGAGTTCAAACTACCATCACCCCTCTGTATGTCATATTCGACCACTTTCACAGTACCCACCTCACCTTTTTTCTACCTTTGTGTTTGTCTTTTACATCTTTGAAACTCTCTTATGTTCCCCCTCTCCCTATCGACTTGTTTCAATTTGATGTTCCTCCTCCTCTGTGAAGCCTGAAGTCAACTAAAGGGCCAATGATAACTTTCACAACGCCTGCCATTTGATATAAGTAACTTAAGTTTACTATTCTTATTCAGTAACCGCAAGTGGTGAAGAATTTGAATAAAATAATGGAAGCAATTTCGGAATTAAGCTGCCTATTTTTCACAAGCAATAATCTCCCCGAAATCCTCAAATCTACACAGCAGTGCACAATCGTGACCTGAAGCTAGTAAGCGTATCAAATAGACTGCTGATTACGAGTCTATAATCAGATCAACTTCAAGATTCATCTCTATGAGTAGTGGGATACACTTCATGTCAATGGGTTTGCAAATTAACATGATTTATATATTAATTTGGCTTCATATTCTCATTCTAGTCTCTTGATATGACCGATCCGAGGGATAACGCTGCAGCAAATGAGACCTATGGTGTTCTCACTCGTCGAACTCTAACTTGGCATCCTGCAGCTCTGCTCTGTAAACGGTTCAATGTCCCCAATCCATATCCAGAGTAAGTTGTCAATTCATGCATTTCATAATCACCCATGTTTTTCGATAATCCTGTGCTTTTTTTATGTCGGTTTTACTGAAAATATTTTCACGTCTTCTTTCACAGCTCGAAATTTGTCGGATGTCCAGAAGATCGCAGAATGCGTCGACCACCACGTAAAGGTAAAAGGCGTGCTGACGATGTCACTTCCAGTGAGTTTACACTCTTCCAGCTTCTTGACATGAACGTCGGAGACAGAGGTGGAGATGATGATGGTAGCGACTATTCAGAAGAAGAGGAGGGGGAAAAGTCCGGTGAAGAAGAGGAGGCGACTGCCAGCCTCACTTTTGAGACGTCCACGAAGCCACTTGGTGGTCCACCTCAATCAATCTTTGAAGGGCTGTTTGCTCAATCTGAGAAGGCTCAACAGGAACGGCAGAATGAGAAGTCTGCGGAAAAAACTGAATCGGTTCCTATCAATGTCAGTCTATTTACTCTTACTTGTGTTTTGTAAAATTGTCAGATGCTTTGCCACACAAATCATGCCCTAGGCCCATTTTTTGTTTTGAAGTGAAATCGCTCTCCTACTTTCATTCTTGCTTAGGCACTTCTATTGTTGACTTTACAATCACAGAGGTCGATCAATTATAATGTGCACTTTTGCATTGTGGGTAAGCAGCTGACATCAATTAGCAGTAGGTGCCATAAATAGTGATGGGAGATCGGTAAAGTGTTGAGAGTAGATTAAGGTATCCAAAGTGTCTTATGTCAATTGATGTTTTTGGCAGCACAATATTTGCTTAATGGTCAGTTCAAGTCCAAAAATTTACATTTTCTTTTGTTTCGTCGCCTTGATTACTGAACATTTTCCCCGTCCATAAAATCAGTGTTTATGCTTCCTCATCAGTTGCTTATGATGGTCAGTCATATCAGTCGTTTTATCTTCAGAGTATGCCTGCATGATGCTAACAAGTTTTCCTTCCTCATTAATTCAGCCAACACCGAGAATATTAGGCCCTGTAGCTCCACCTCAAGATATTTCCAAATCATTCACCCCTAATGAAGAAGGTGTGCCCTCCATGGATCTCTTCAAATCCATCTTCGCTTCGGATGAAGAGTTAGAAGACGACGATGATGATGGACAAGAAAATGACGATCTTGCTACTCTCATGCAACCCCCTCCAACAATAGAGTCATCATCTACTGAATTCAGGCCATCAGTAGTATCCGCCAGTCCCACTCAGCAAGATGAGCCAGTACTAGGTGAAGAGAAGGAAAAGGAGGTTACTAGACCACCAAACCCTCCAGACTTATCTGTTCATCAGCTGTTCAAGCACTTGTTCAATCCTGAGATGGATAGCGGTAATTCTCTCCCCATTACCTACCTCAATTTTTCCATTATCAGCCGTTAGCCTTCCTTAAAGATCTCTTTCTAATGATTCTGTGTCAAGGGCAGTTTTCAATTTGTAAAAATTCAAAAAATGGATATTTAGAGACAATTGTCTCAGATGGGGAGCTATTTGAGCATTTCAGGTTTTCCAACCCTTAAAAACTTTCCAGGGTCATTGCGAGCAATTTTATTAGCGCTTGGCTTGTGTAGATGAAAGGAATTCTGGGCTTGCTCCTACGTTAACCTTGTATTCTACCCTTTCTCTTGTTGGCCTAGGAGAGCTGTCATGCATTACGGTTATCAGCTATTTATTTTGGATTACCAAAAATATCGTTGTCATTACCGAAACTTGTCCTAACGTCACCCCCATCTATTATAGAAGCTCCACTTTTCGCCATTTCGAAGGTGGCTAATCAACGAAGGGAGGAGAGGCGCATGGAATTGGAATTGAATTCTACAAAAGCGAGTTCTTCAAAAGAACTCGTTTCCGAAGACGATTTTTATGGTCCCTCACTTCCACCTGGTTTTGGTACGTTGAATGCCCGAACTACTGATTTATAAATAAGTACCGCGTGTATTTTACCTCCTGATTATTGGGTTATTTCCTTAGGAGGCGCTGAAGCTTCAAACATTTCAACGTCTATTGCAATCAATTCGACAAGCTCTTCATCAAAGGATGTGGACTATGTCGAGCGCAAGGTATATTTGGTTCAAGTTTATTTCGTTTTTTATCAATTAAACATTATTAAGTACTAATTCATGCATCAGAATTTCTTTGCTTAAAGTAGGTGTATATGACTGTTTTAGCATCTATTCCCAATTCTGTCGGAGTTATTTGATTTTATTTGCTGATTGAAAAGCTATGACGATGTTCCTATATCTGGCAATTTTGCACTCTCCCATCGGTGTGTTAGATTTTATCACTCTGGGGCTGCATTTTCCGATCACTGTTCAAATTAAACAGTCCGCTATCTTATGTCACTCAATCAATTGGATCTGAATATGCATACATAAGCTCATCTACTAATATATGTCGCCAAACCGGGCATTTTAAAACTTCACATTGTTTACAATTTCCTTTTAAATGAAACAAGACTCGTGACATCCTGACATCATTACCTACCTATAATCGACCTCGCCATTCCACATTCCATGTTGTATGATTTGCAAGTCTCCATGATTAGACATTTTCTCTTTATGAAAACTTGTGCAAATATTTTGACATGGCCTGCATCAGTTCTAATTTCTTCACATGGTATCATTTTTCGCCTCTGGCAACTTTTTATGTATGAGATGAAATAGTTTATGAAATATTCTGTCGGAGCCACACAGTTAGATCTGCTAGTGCAAATTTCGATTTCAGAATGGTCTGGTATTATGATATTACAGCACTTTCTCACATATCGGCATATCATTGCAATGGTGGGTGATAACTTATTGAGCCCCAGGGCTAATGATAAATATCACAAAGCCTGCCATTTGAAATAAATACTTATTGAGCCTGCTTGAATAGTCAGTTCTATATGAATTTTCTCTTTTACAGAAACGGAAGAAGGACAACTCGGACAGAGAACACAAGAGTAGGCATCATCATCATCACCACCATCATAAGCACAAGCGCAGACATCATAGGGAATCTAAAAGGAATTAATTCTATCGTCCCTCCCTGCCGAATGCCTTTTGTACACATTTTCCCCATATTTATGTTTTTAAGCGAAATTGGTTTTTTGTTATGTAAACATTTACATGATGGCTTTTATCCTCAAGGTTCATTTTTTATCCAGATTCTATATATGATACATATATTAGTTAAATCATCCTTCTATTTTAGTTACTAATCATTGGAAAGGGATCATGAAAAAGTTTCAATTTGAGCATGAATGCATAATTCACAGAAAAATACTTATTGAAGCCTAATTGGAAGTCAAAATTGCTTCAGTTACCACCAAATCCTTAAACTTTGCGAGCATTTGGCAGGTGTGTTAGCACCGCTTGTTGCAGACGAAAAACGTGTAGCAGCGCTGGAAAAATATGTACTTCTAGTTTCAACGACAGCAGGATGATAAAAGCTAACATTAGCTGTATATTTCCTCCAATTATATGCAAATTATTATTAAGAGTATTGCTTTTCATTGGAAATAAATATCAAGGGTTGAAAAGGCCTGTTTGGGATGTCGGTTACAGAAAAATCCCAATAACAGTTTCCTTCAGGAGTGATTCTATTTAAATCAAATAGATAGTTTTATAACAGAAGGATTATGTCAAAATTATCTGCATTGTCGGTTAATAAGTCATCGAAAGGATATTTTGCTATTCCAATGGGTTGTTGCCCTTTGAGTTCCCTGCGTAAAACATGTGTTGATTAATAATGCAAAGGGAAATCTGTTGAAGCTGCTTTCGGCACCGAAAATCTAACCTTCGGTTTTCCTCTGTGATCTTTCAAACGCCTCAATAAGGCCAGCATGAGCGCGTAAAAATGGATGGTCATTTGCACTGATGGGAGCATTCAACTCCTCCTCTGAAAGAGTACCGCCTGCACCACTAGAATCCATTCGAGCCATTCCTGGCAAAAGTGAACTGAATCCCGTCAGACCTCCCATTGCTTGAAATATACAGGGCTGACCAATGGGTCGACCTCGAGCTCTCCTTTCCTCAGCTGTTTCTGACTATTATTAAAAAAGAAAACAGTCCATATTGGAAAGTTAAGGCATTGAACATGCATGTCATATTCACATTCTGTTAAGGATATCAATTTACGTCTAATTGGCAGCATTGATTTTAAAACTTTGTTTTTAAATGGACTATCGTATTTAGAGAAATATCTGATATCTTTAATTCGACTTTTACACTTGCCTGGAATCGCCTTAATCCTTATTGGCTGCAAAATTAAGTGGCCCTAATTTTTTACTCTATCTAACGTGTCAAGTAAAACTCCTCTATCATCTTCAAAGTTTTGGTTGCATTTCCAAAAATTGAATTACTTAACTAGTTTCCAGGTATTGGATCCCTCTAATATAAGCCTATGTTACAACTGTTATGAAGTAATATAACTACTCACTGGAGAATACCATGACAAAGGCTGGTTCGGACTCAAAGGCAAAAGAGAATCGGCCTGGAGTTTGAACTCCAGTTGATTGACAAATTGTAAATACTTAAAGTCAGGAGATTACTTGTAAATATAGCGGCGATGCAACATCACGTCCGGGAATGCCCAAAAAAGGTTATAATCGGAATATTCATTTTCTAAGTCAATTCCTCTCTATGAAAATCTAAATTTTTCCTAGACGCTTGTGGAAAAAAGTCACTCTTTTGTACCAATTCCGGCCACTCCGTGCTGATTTACGATTGTTTTACTAATGAGAGTTGAAAATTCACACATTAGAATGTCAGCCTCGATCTTCATAACACATTCAATGAGTCTATTCAAAGACTCCTTAGAATGCCACACAACAAAATTCACTCAGCTGCGAAGTTAGGAAGCGAAACCTTGAACCACGTGGATCAAATCTCCCGACACTTTCTTCAAATTTTTTCCCGCAACCAAATCTAGTCATTTATTTGATCAAATGTGACTCCTGTTTAAGTAATCCATTTTATTCAGTTTCTTCCTTTTCATAAATTTCTGAATCCATTTTCCCTTTAAATGCATGAGATATGTCACTATATTAATAAAATATATAACAGTAAAGTAAATGCATGTGTTTCTTAAAAATCTCTTCGTTATCGAAAGCAACCGAATATGGCGATCAGTTTTAAATCGAAGCGGAAATTTTTGGTGTTTTTAGTAGACACAATCAAATAAAGTTATAGCGGAATAGTGTCAACTCTTAACCAGGTTTATAAATGTTCATTAATGTGGGACCTGCATTTGGTGACTACTAACTTAATTTCACATCATGTTAGTATATCTTTTTTCATTTACAAAAGAACGTCCTAACGTCATATTTGCAATAAAAATACAAATGCGATAAGGTTGTATCGATCTACTCAATCTTACTTTGAGCTGAACTTTAAAAGAACTCAATTAGTAGTTAATGCGAGATTGCTATTAGAAATTATTTGGAAAGCTAAAATTACCATAGTAGTATGTTCATGAGCAGAAAATCCACAATCACACGTGGCACTGGTTTTGAATCCTGTGCATTGGCAATTTGATCGGGTACACAAATACGGTTTGATCTTAAAACGAAATAAAGCTTTAATTATGTAATACATTTTCAATAACATATTGGATGAATGTCGTCTTATTAACTTACGACTTTGTGTTCAGTTGCCTCATGTTTGCAGTGGCATCTAGGTGACCCGCCGATGATCCTTGGCATGTAATGAAAGGTTTGACAACTACATTTTGAACAAGGTTGAGGGATCGGTCTTTCGGGTGGAATGAAGGGGAAGTCAGTTTTGTGTTGACGATATCTATGCGTGCAAAAACATTGAGACTCTGGCCCAATTAGCATGCAGTCCAACCCCCTAGGATTAGTCCAACAAATATAAACCCTATTTTTCAACCTCTGTAGGAGATAAGAAAGAATCATGACATATTTTCATCCTAGCTTTAGCTACCATAGGAAAGACACGTTGCTTATAAGCCTCAAATTGAGCCGGTGTAAATGGATGCCCGTTGTCATCATCTCCGACAATTCTTATGAAACCTAATTTAACTTTTTAACTAGTTAAAGCCTACCGTTGATAAAGAACATACTCATCTATAGCCGCAGCATCTTCAGCAGAAATTCTTATAGTATTAGACATGGATCTACATAAAAATCGGTTTTAACTTCCAGTTCACAGCATAAGCATCTTTAAAAGTATACAAATAAGAATAAACAGAACGATACTTCGAAATAACTTTGTTAATTTGAAATATGGAAAGCAGAAAATAGTGTTAATGGGATGGAAGTCTCGAAATAACTAATTTTGCATATTTAATGCTTATTTTCACTAATCATAAACAAACCATAAAATATATAACTTTAAATATATTTTTAATTATGTTTAGCAAACATTACAGAAATATATAATGCTATTACGATAATTACAATATCATTATTTAGAAAATATTATAGAAAAACATTAAATTTTAATACTGATAAACTTTACTCTATATATAATGGTATTATAACACTAATATGAAGCACAAATTCCACCAGATTTCGTGTAATTTGTAAAGGTATTCTTAACATTATCATTTTAAACAAATGTCTAAAAAAATTCTTCTATCATTTCGTTAAGTATGTTTCTTGTAATGACTTTGTCCTTTGCCAAAGATAAACATTTTTAATTTCACACTTGAATCTCTAGTATACTTTAAAATTGTTATTAATTTGTACTCGAACCTCTATTTTTTACCATTTATTTTATTTCTTTGTTTGCCACCATCGTGTGAATTATTCCTGAATGAGTCATCACGTGTTTGCTATTCGAATACTCACATAGTCATCCATTCATGTTTGCAGCAATTTCATATGTATGGATGTACTTACTGAACTTCTTATTATCCTTTTGGATGATATTAATTATCCTTTTTAGCCTAAGAAAATCTCATTACTTATTTCGCGGTTTCTAATAACTATGCACCTTTTTGAGAAAGCTACATATGTCGACCCAAACACTACTATCCCTGACCTAACAAATAATTCGTACACTTTATCACTTGAAGGCATTTCTCTATGTAAACGTCTTCACTTCCTCAAACCATTAGCCAGTGGCCTGGCCCATGGAAAAACAACCTACTCTGAGTGGTATGCGTAAACTACAAATATCGGCCTTGGAAAAAAAGTCGTCAGTATATGGCAAGTATTGGGACTAGCCTGGTATTGGCTTCGAAAAGTAAAAACTCGCTATTCAAAGTCACACAAAGACCCTAAATTATTGTAACAAATCATCTACAAGGTAACCCAGTACAGTGTTTGACTTTAGCTTATCCTGGTTAAAGGACCGATGCGTAGCCTAAACACGTATTTCATATAGACTGTCTAGAGAATTTGGGAAGGGTGGGATTGGGCCTATGTGATCGCTTTACAATGGCATCTGCGACCCGGGGTCCCATGCGCATTGACTTCAACCCTCCGCGTCTTCTAGCTATAAACGCACACCATGAAGAAGATTAAAGGCCAATCCGGGCACATAATGAGGTGACTCATAGACACAAGGCAAAGCACGCATCCCATAGCCATGGGCACAACTAACGCACTTATAACAATTTCAGTTAAAGCCTGTGAAAGCGCCCTTCTCTTAGTGACTTATGACGCACACAAATATTGCCAATGGGAGACAATTTCCAATTGTTCCCTCAATGCCTTAAATCTTGATCTAAAAAACTTTACATTATTCCATAATTGTATGCTTAATTTCACTCTTTTAGCTTAATCACTACTCAAATTGCAAACTAAATGGCATAATATGAGTTCTCTTGCTATTCCTGAGTTAATTATCGAATTGTTTTCACGAGGCGTGCAAAAAAATCGATGGAGAAGCAATTAATAAAGCCAAACGGCTCTCATTGCACCCATAAATCAATATGAGCACTCAATGATCTAATTAACAATTTTGGGGACACTTTCGGATGATTATTGACAAGTCCCATATTCTTTTGTTTTTTCTACAGTTAGACTGGTAATGTAGTGTCAGCCGGCGTTAAGTTTGCTTTTTAAGATGTATGAGAAACTTGGGTTTCAAAGTCCAAAATTGGCTAGTTGACTTTACGATCAACTCCTAATTCAAGTAAAAAAAACTTGTAAGAAAGAAACCCCTACGGCCTTTGTCCATTTATGTTAAATATAAAATGAAAATCTGTCTCACTGTCCTAGAGATTTTGGGATTTCTTCAGCTTGAAAGACCATTAGGGAAATTGACCTTTTAGGAGGAGAGAAAGGCAACATTAAGCTAAATGTTCTACTTTCAAGATTGATGATATGCAGTCCACAATCCATGCAAATTCTTCCCCAGAAATAGCTTCCGATAAATAAAACATAAAGAAACAATAGGGTATTTTGTGTTCAACAAGCTGTAAGTGAATTTTAGTCAAATTTATCAAATCAGACAAAGTGCAACTGTTAACCCTAGGAGGGAAGGAATACAGCTATAATAGGGACTGCACGCAATTGAATAGATCAAGTGATGAACCCTGCTTATTCTGAGCCTCAAGGTCATTAGATTAGATCCTGTCTAGATCTAAATTATGACCTGGTTTTTGCCTCATTTTATCCTTACCTTCTTTATTTTAGAAAGGTGCTGCTTCGCCCCCCACCCTCACAAATTTTTATGGCCCCTATCTACGGAACAAAGGAGCTAATTTTTTATCCATTCATCAGGGTCTTCTCAGCTCATTTGCTTTTGCAATTAATCGGGAAGTCCGCAGGCAATTTATTTTTTTTACGCACACCTTTTAGTTGTGGCCGATTCTAGAGAATGCGTGGAGTTGAAACCTTTATTGGATTCATAATTCAACTTGCACGCCAAACATCTGGTTAGAATCCGCACAGGCTGAATACGTGCGTAGATATAAACTTATTTATTACCAAAGCCTTATAATTCACAATCCCTCATGTGGTATTACGTGAATAATTTGAGCTCTAACCGTCCAAAATAGTTTTGTAGACAGTGGGCTAGTTAGCTAAAGGTCAAGTCGACTCTGTTGTAGTTAATTTCCTTAATTATAGACCACCCAAATTTTCAGTTTCCTCCAATTATCAGCGTGAGTGTCTTTCTGAACACTTAATTAAAATATTGAAGTCCAAGCCCTCTATCAACTCCCTTTAAGTTCAGTGTTCTTAAAGTGGCTTGCAGTAATCATTTTTAATATCCCCTGAGCCTCAAGGGAGGAAGTTAGTCATTAAATCTTGCTGACCTCACTTTCAGTCACTGTCCTCAAATAAAGACGGTGTTCATAAGGTCTCCCTACTACCATTCATCTAGGTCTTCCCAACATAAATTAATATTTATTTATTTATATCAAATGGCAGGCATTTTGATAGTTATCATAAGCCCTTTAGTTGACTTCAGGCTTCACAGAGAAGAAGGAACATCAAAGTGAAAAAAAGTCGAGAGGAGGAGGGGAACAGAAGAGTATTTCAAAGATGTTGAAGAGGGAGACACAAAGGTAGAGTGAAAAAGATGAGGTGAGTACCGTGGAAGTAGTCGAATAGGACATACAGTGAGGTGATGGTGTTTTGAAGTCGGAAGTCAACTGACGAATAATAGACTTTTTTGCCGTATGAGTATACGTTGACCAGTGTGCACCACGTGGAGGTAAGTCTATCGCACACCATATAACGGTGAAATATGGTTTAGACAGAAATAGATAAAGGAGTATGAAGGTCAAGAGTCGTATTTGCTCTCTGAAGGAATGGTATTGCTCACTTTCCCCTTGCATCTCGTTATCTAACTCCTTTTAAAGCATGATTTGACTTAATTGTATGATAGGCCATACCGTGGATTCATTTTTACCTATTTATTGGTGATTGACAAGACCATTTTAAACCCCAACGTGTTGCTCCCACTACCCTGTTCGAACGGATTAGTCCTAACCATAGTTACTAAACTAGAAAACACAAACATACGGGCCTATTTACTGACCTCTAGGCCACTAGGCTCGAAGCCCCGTCACCTGGCCTTAATAATTGACGAGGAGATGACAAGGCGTCGTATTGAAGGTGTGCGGGTCGATTTTAGGCATCGCCTTCTTAACAGGGGAACTGGATATGAGGTCGTGAAGGTTTTACTGGCCTCCTTAGCCTGAGAACGGGGAGGAACGATGGCAACGAAGCGTTATGAACAAATTCTGAAAGATTGACCTTCATGCAAATGACTCTGCAATAAAATGAGTGCCAGTCAAAAGTTAGATGAAATCAAGTAATAAGTGGACTCCCCTAAATAAAAATTTGCCAAATTTTTAGTCCATTTTCATCGCTTCAGTTTCCATCTCCTTAAAACAAATGCAGGGAACAGAAACAACATGAGTTATTATTCCTAAACCGTTTATTAACCTAAAAATCCCATAGAATTAATGGATTTTACAGGATGGAAGGTTCTTGTGAAACTAGGTGATTTTGGCACTGAAATCAAAGATTTCCACAAATTTGAGTTGGTATTGCTGTGCATATGTCCTTAAGGCCTTCATAGCGTTCACAACGGGTAATGACTTATACTCGAATGTATTTTTGGCATATTAACCTGCGAGTCAAAGAGGGTAATTGCTCGTAATTAGCTAGGTTAGTGATCTATCTATCTATCATCTAGGAGTAAACAGGGCTGTTAGCTTCTATTTATAATGGTGAAAATGGGGTGTGTCTGTTTGTCTCTCTTACGTCCGTGAATCATTATAATGTCCCGCCTCTCGACGTTTGTCACTTTGTTGTTCCTCCTCCTCTCTGTAAAGCCCAAAGTTAGCTGAAGGGCTAATGATAACTATCAAAACGTCTGCCATTTGAAATGAATAAATTCGAGATAAATTGGAAGCCATGACATTGCCTTAACCCTAATTGTTATCCTTTTTTGAATAAGATTAGATATAAGA